AAGTATTCATTATGAGAGATACCAAGTAAAAATATTATATAAAACAATTGCAAGCTCGGAAAAAGAAAATAAAAATGGCATAAGTAAACAGGATTTTTTAAAAAAATAAACTTCTCAAGAAATATGCATTCATAGATACACGAGAAGATATGATAAAAACTCTAAATATTGTGGAAGGTATCAAAAACAAGAGGATAAATCATAGGAATGATAATGTCATATAATTTAAAATACCACAGAAAAAATAATGCTGAGCGAATTTCACAACTGTGTTCAAACTCCAAGATGTAAAGAGTTAGAGGGCGATAAGGACAAAAGAACGAGCCTGATTTTGAAGAGGCTCCAAAACCAAATGGGAACACCGAAACTCCAAGGAAAAGCATTAAAACATTTAAGAAACCTTATCTAATCCCACAATTACATGTTTATTAGAACTTATAATAGTGTAAGACGAAAAACTTAGTTATGCTACTATATAAAGGAGATAGCGGGGATAGTCAAATTTTTGAAGGGATGAAGGAAAGGGCATTATCATAAATTCATAATTCTATAGGAGTTTTTTTTTCTCCTTTTTTTCTTTTCTCTTTCTTTTTTTCTAGAATATTCTAAACCATGACATGACAAAGAATCAGAGCTCTTAAATTAAATATCTATCACAATGTGTGTTATAGGAGATATAAATAGGGCATAATAAGCTTATTTTCCCAAAAAAAAGTGTATTAGACATAAGTAAACACCATACAAAAATGGCAATTTCTATATGTTCTAATACAAATATTATCATGAGTTTAAATATCTGGACATAGTTAGGTTAAAAGTAATTAAATATATTAATTTGAGATAAAAGTATGAAAAAGACTCCATTTATTGACATTACCCAAGGCTTTCTTAGGGCGGTTTTTTTAGAAGTATCCCACCAAATTGTGATACATCCTATTTCTCTTTTGGAAATTTCATTGACACTGCTGCACGTGCATTTGCACATGACGTAAAGCTAGTGACACATAAAGGAGCATCCAAGACCAAAACAAGAAAGATGGATCCAAGAACTCTTAACATTTTCAACATTGTGTAAGATTTCAAAATGAGAAAACCACTATAAAGGATACAACAGAGAGCGAGGGAGAGAGAGCCTGACAGCAACGAGGGCACAATTCCAGCTATGGCCCTATCTTCTTCCTTCCCAATCTTCTTCTGATCTTCTGCCACAAACTCCTCCAACTTTTGAAGAACCTCAGAAAAAATTGCATCCACATTCCCCCCTTCAGATCCTAGTTGTCCTCCTTCGGAATCATATATATAGCCGCAGGAGTTAACTCCAGTGGCAATTAAAACTACTTGATTGACTTGGTTGATGAGAAGAAGTGAATTCAAGAAAGGTATTACCTATTTTAGATTCAATATACAAAAACATCAATTTCCGGTATCTAGGATTTTGATAAATTTTCAGAATATATAAAATGTTAGGTTCACTGTTATTAAGGTTTTTGCAAAGGTTTAGAGCTTACATGGTTAAGGAATTTGGCAAAGGAGATCGAGTTTGTGCTGCCCCAAAAGAAGGGGTTGATGTCGAGGAGAACGACGACAAGGCTGACATCATCTGACATTTAAAAAACATCACCAATCAAATAAATTAAGGAGAATAACAAATTTAACAAATAAATGGGATCAACAACTATCATATAAAGTTTTTCGCTAATCTTGAACTCAATTCAACTCAAATCAATATATCATGCCATTAAAATTTAAATATAAGCTGGAAAATTATTGATTGTTTACTTTAAAAAATGGCCCATTAAACAATATCCACTATTCAAATTCATGAAAAAAAAGTACCGCAAAAAAAATTCTTTTGAGACAAAAGTTATCTTTTGACGTTTGAAAGATGACAGAGAAAGTATATGGAAGTTAAAAATCTTAAATTTAGTTCCCCTAACCATTACACCAAAACTCAGAAATTATGGTGAAGATAAATGATTATAGTTTTATATTAATTCTAACATGCCCCCGCAGGTTGAGCGTCCTTTTTTATGGGTCGAAACCTGGACTCACGTAGCGGTGTGAATTTTTAGAAAATCCGCATTTAATTTGTGGCCGGTGAGATTTGAACCTGGGTTGCTCTGATACCATCTTAAATCTAGTTCCCCTAACCATTACATAAAAACTCCGAAGTTATGGTGAAGATCAAGGATCATAGTTTTATATTAATTCTAACAAGTAAAGGGTCAGCTGTTAAAATCAAGGAGTGCTCCCATTCACGGTGTGTTTGGGAGTTTACTTAGGGAAGGGAAGGAAGGGGAAGGAAGGGGAATTTTTCCCCTTCCTTCCCTTCCCCTCCATTACACCCCAATTTGGGGTGTAAGAATTTGGGCCAAATTTCCCCTCCATTCCCCTCCTCTACCCTCCAAAATGAAACTCCCAAACAAGGTTAAAATGAAATTTCCCTTCCCTTCCCCCTCCTCTACCCTCCAAAATGAAACTCCCAAACAAGGTTAAAATGAAATTTCCCTTCCCTTCCCTTCCCCCTCTCTACCCTCCATCCAAACAGGCCATAAGATCAGGTTTTAATTCGAAGAGGGGATCAATTGCTAAATCAAAGAGCGTTTGTGAATATTTACCCACCGGAAAAAAAAGTCCCTTTAAGAGATATCCACTGTCTAAATTCATAGAAAACAATAACGCAAATAAATTCTCTTGATATCCACTGTCTAAATTCATAGAAAACAATAACGCAAATAAATTCTCTTGATAGAAAATAACAGATAAAGCATGCGGAAGTTAGAAAAAGGCACCAATCGTTTAATCAAGGAACACCCATTAAACAAAATTGGATCTTTTGACGAAATTAGATCGAGAGAGAAGGGTAGAGAGTACCAGAGTAGAGCTTCGAGGGAGCGGGAGCCATGGTGGAAACAAAAAGGGTTTAAGAGAGGAAAGAGAACGAAGCGTAAATAGAGACCCCTTATCGGGTCGGGTTTGGATCCGCAGCCATGGACTTAATTCTATAATGCCCCCTAAACTTCAGCCTTGTCCCAACGAACCCCTTTATCACCACAGATACCTCATTGTAAGTCTCTCCCTAAAAATTCTAGGGTTTCGTTTTTTATATCAAAATCAAATCCATCAAATTTCGTCTTTTCCTTCTAATCGGCTAATGGATTGATTCAACAGGGAACTGATTTGATTGGAGATTTTCCACATGTCAAGTTGTGAGTTTTGACTACCGATGCCTCGTTCGCTGTCTCGACAGGCGCGATCGGAGCCGGTCACCGTATTCATATAGGTGGATCCATTACTAGTCTCACTGCCCTGGTCTTGATTCTGTTTTCGGATGCCTTTTTCTTTAGTTGATGTGAACTCTATTTATTAGGGGAAAATATTAATTTTTGTGGTTCTATTTGATGTAGTTTTTTTTTCCCCAATCAAAATCTCAGCTGACCAAGCTCATGTCTTAGCATAGGATGCTTGGCCTGCTAAATGAACAGAGATTATCTTCTCAGTGATATTGAGCACTTCCAAAGATTCCTACCTTTGTAATTTAATAGCCACACGTTGCACTTAAGTATTATAATCTACTCCTAGCAGTGCTACTCCGAAAACATCAGCTAGTTGGTGTATGATCCGGTTATTTTGGCTAGTTAGTCGTATTTGGTTGGTTACTCCATTTGCAATCATCGTTTTCGGATTTTGTTAATTGTATATATTTTACCTTAAAGCACGGATATTGGAGGATGCACGCACCATTGTTTTTTTCGTGCATGGTTAATAGTTATACATGTAAGTAGTGATGACTTTCCTGCTTCAATCCATTATAATCTTTGGACTCAATGTCAAAGAAAATTTCACTATATCTTGACACTTCAGTTGCCTGCATCATGCTGTTTAGTCCATGGGGAGATGATACTTCTAAATAGAAGAAGAAATGCCGTGCTTATAACATTTTGTTTCTATAAGCTTTTTAATGTTTATTAAGTTATTAACCTTGTTTCAAATGGTTTAGGATACTTTTCCAAGCTGTTAAGGTTCTCGGAGGTACCGTTTTTTAGATTATTGCCAGGGATTTCAACTGCATTGACTTTTTTTCTGTTATTCTTCGCTCTTCTGGAGTGTTTTGTGCCTACAAATAGTACAGGATAAATAAATATGAAAGAGAGATCTCTGTTAGGGTTTGTGTAATTAAACTATTCTTCGTGCTGCAAAACTATTATTTATATTTGCTAGTGACTATATTTTCCATTTGAAATGTTTGCCAATCTTATAGTACATTAGCAAATTATTGATCTGGCTATTGAAGACGTTGGCAGACAATAGTTTTGCATTTGAGTCGAATAACAATCACGTTCTGCTTACAATTTCATGATATTGATCTCCATGGCTTTAGTTTAATAACTTGGACAACGTCGGACAGCTTTTAACTTTGTGCACCCAATTTGGATTATATTAATAATTATTTTGTTGGTCTTACGAGCATGGGAAGGAGATGGAAGCAAATTATGATCTTATGATCTAACAATCATTGATAATAGTATTCAGGAAGACATTCTCTTAGTAGAATTTGCAGGATGTCCTGAGTTTCCCTCAAAAGGGCCCACATACGCAGGCGTTGGTTCTTTTTGGTTTTCCTTGGTTTAATTGGACTTACAGTCTCTTTTTTGATAAACATGGAGCTTACAAAGATTAGTCTTTAGCAACGCCAGAGGTAATCATGCACTTGTTTGGAACTACTGTGGAATTAGTGGTCAAAACAGGACTTCATATCAGTAGATTCAGTACTGCTTGCCGCTTGGTAATTGCTCATACTTATTTTCTGATTCCTGATAATTCTTCTATCAGGAGAAGAAGTCCTTCCATTTCACCAAGATGGCGTAAAAGCCGTTCTCCAACTCCTAGGAGGCGGAAAAGTCGCTCACCATCCCCAAGACAGTACAAAAGACAGAGGAGTAGGAGCACTACAAAATCACCTATATGCAAGTCTCGTAGCCCTAGTCATGGATCAATAGAACGTAGGAATGGTGCTGGGAAATTATGGAAGGAAGAAGAAGAAAAGAAAAGGTATACTGTTTTCCCCTATATATTTAAGTAGCTTTCTTCTAGAGGCTCGGATGTGGTTATCGTTTGCATTTTTTAAAAAGTTTGTATGTTATTGGCACACCCACTCTTTAATTGTCTCCATGAAAAATACAATAACATGTAAAGTTATCTTCAACTTGATATTGTGGCATATGTGAGTAACGAGCATGAATATAGTCATCGTTAAGTTTGGCTTGTCTTCACAAGTATACTAGGGGAAAACACTTACGTTCTCTAGCATTGAAATCAATGTATCAGAAGTTCTCATATAACTATTTCGAAACTTGACAATTAGGTCTAGGTTACACTGAGTATACAATAAATAAAACCAAGCTCAAGCTCCTCAAGTAGGTGTCAAGCCATAGACCCTCAACTACAAGGACGTTCAACACGTGAAAGAGTCATAACCATAGCTATATTGTTTTAAGACACAAATAATGAAGAAATGAAATTACCATGACCGAGCCGAACTATCATAAATATCCACTACTGAAGAAGTCTTACTATAGCAATACATGTATATATAAAGGAACATAACTGAAGCAAATGAGAATGTGTACAGCCTGACCTTAGCATGTATATTTGTCAACTAAAGGTTTGAGCCCAACTTCTATGGTACAACTGTATATCAAGCCGATCTGAGTACATCGCTAGTAACCTGTTGACACAATGTTCCTACTTATGGTGCCTTATTGTATTCAAGAAAGAGGGTGGGATAGACATTTGCTTAAATATTACTATAAGAAGAACCTTGCAAATGGTGTTTAGACCTGCAACTTAATCCCCTTCCCATCTGCATAAGTGCTAAACTATAGAGAGGGGAAATTTCCTTAACAGAGTGGTCAAATGTTTGTTATGATGGTGGTGATAGCTTTTTTTCTGTTGGGGTGGGTGCACTTCGTACTCTCTGTTCAAGATGAGAACAGTGAAGAATCTCAATGATTGATACAGGCTATGGAAAACTAACAAGCAGCAACATATATTAGTTTGAGTAAATACCAGCGAAGGTTAACAATGGATGGAATCCGGTTCCTACGCTCATAAGGAGTTTATGGTAATGAGAGCGGAATCATTCTAATTAAAGAGGAATTAACAATTAACAATGCAACATATATATAAGAAAAGGGAACTATTACTGCAAGTATGGTATATACTATATATTGCTTTGTCCAAGTCTAAATCAAATCCCAAGTCCATGGTTATAGACATATAACCAACTATAAGTACAATACCATTAGGCCACTTTGCTGGGAGCTATTTCTTCCATCTTCCATTCAATGTCACCGTTGTCCTCTCTCACTAAGTCATCAGATTCCATTGGCAGATTCAGAATGGAACATCTTGTTCGGTCATCCAAGCTAATTCTTCATTCTCCTCCCAAATTATTTGCTTACCATTACTACAAGACGATGATGCCTGTTTTCTCTTTGCGAAATGTTGGCCATGTCTGGGGCTGGGCTAGGTTGTTTAGTGTATGGACTGTAATTTTTATAACAGTTTCAGTATCTTCTTTTAATGTGACAATTGACATTCATCTTTCTTTTACTTTGTTCTTCTGAAGAATGTTGTAGAAATCTACACTGTTACATTTAATTTGATCTGGCATCAACTAGCTCATGGACTCCATAACAAAATCATTACTAATTTATTGGTTATTGCTCCACTTCATTGTGGCAGTGCTTTGCTGTAAAGTTTCTATGTGCTAAACTGCTAATCAGTTGGGTCCAAATCAACAAATGTTTTTGCTACATGAAAGCAGAAGCAGTTATTTGCTACATTGTAGTTTGCTCTTAAATGCACTTAGCTTCAGTATTGGGAAAGCTATGCATTAATGTGATAAGAGTTGAAGTGTTCACGTGATAAGTTTAAAGTGCTACAGATAATTACTTTGACATTCTTCTCCACAGGATTTTGAAGGAAGATACTGCTATAGTACCCCCTTTGTTATATTTGATGATCTCATTGGCTGACTCGTTTATCTACTGTTCATCAGTTTGAAACTCATTTATTTGGATCTGGCATCTTGTAGAGGTATGCCTTGAAAGCATAAACTTGTATTTAATATTGTGATGGGTAAGAACCAAAGGCTTGCCTGGTAAACGATAAAATGAAGCTTGCCATGCTGCTTGCTAATTGTAGCTGTTTGTCATCCCTGAAAGGCATGTACTGATGTTAATTGCTTCAATAACATGCTTGAATGGGCAGTTCTTTCTCTAACTTTTCCGTTGGGACTTATTAGGCGTCAAAAAGAAGCAGAGTTGAAACTGTTAGAAGAGGAAACAGCTAGAAGAGTTGAAGAAGCAATCAGGAAAAGGGTGGAGGAGAGTTTGAACTCTGACGAGGTCAAGCTAGAAATACAACGTCGGATAGAAGAGGGTAGAAAGAAGTTGTTCGATGAGGTTGCAGTTCAACTTGGGAAGGAAAAGGAAGCAGCTCTTGCTGAAGCAAGGCAGAAAGCGGTATGTTACCTTATAATGATGTGGGCATTCCCTAGATGCCCATACATAGTTTGCTGATTTGCTCATGATTCTGTTCTACATTCATTTTATTATGTTAATTTAATGCTCCTTTATGGGCTTTACAAGAAAGGATCGTCGTCTTGCAACGGAACTGTCAAATTTCTGTTGCTACCAGGTGGAGGATCAGATGATCTTGTTTACTGACACTCTTTAAGTGATCATTTATTTTAATTGATTTACAGCAGCCGTAGGTCCGAAAAATCAATTATCAATCAGTTCATTGTTCATAGTTATAACCATCAATTTTAAGCTTTGCCTATGAATTCCCTATGTAGAACATTTTTCTTAAGGGCACTTCATGTTTGCTTAACCAGCTGCATCACCTTATCTTCCCCTTCACTCTGAATGCCTTCTGTACTGTGGCTCACATCTTCTGGTTCTAGATCACGGGTGAAGTCAAATTTGATACTCCAACACAATATTTTTGGACCTTGGTGAAGCTCACTTTAGTTAGAATCCTTTTCATGGTAAGGACTAGGGTCTCTTGAGGGAATTCTAATAAAAGATACATGAAGAAATATGTTTACCAGTACCAGCTGTGTATGGTTACAAAAGGAGAGTGAAAGAAGCAGAAGGTGTTGAATTTGAGGCGATGGGGGGAATTTCGCATAAGGGATGCTACATCACCTTATCCTCAATTGGTGCAACTCTAAACTTTGGTATAATCAATAACTCACCTTATTACTTCTACCACTACAAAACAAGCATGTTGCAGCTATTTCATTATTTCTGCTTTTATTTACTTTTTCCAAAATTGCCTGGACAATATCACTCAGCACCCTAATCACAAGAAAGTCAAGTCTTATTGCAAGTTATATAAATATATTCTCTCGTCGCCAGAGAATGCATCTTTTTATCAATAAAATAAATATATCTGAGATTAGTTTGAAGGCATTATTTCATGGAAAATTTTGAACTTAATAAGCCTCTGTTAGTCTCTAATTGGATTCATTAGTTGATGCATTCTTGTTGTCAATTGTCCTTAAAACCTTGCCTTTGTTTCTTTGTTTCTTTGTTTTGTGCTTTTGGTCGGGCCTCTGCAGGAACAAGAAAGAAGAGAAAGAGAGCAATTAGATAAGATGCTGGAGGAGAACCGAAGGAAAGTAGAGGAGGCTCAGAAAAGAGAAGCTCTCGAACAACAACAGAAAGAATTGGAGCGATATCAGGAATTAGAAAGAATCCAGCGACAGAAAGAAGAAGCCATGCGAAGAAAAAAGATGGAGGAAGAAGAAGAAAGAGCAAATCAGATGAAGCTACTTGGTAAGAACAAATCTCGTCCCAAATTGTCATTCGCTATCGGATCAAGGTGATAAGGTTGTGCAAGTCCTGTGATTCGTAGTAGTGAAAGTCCTCAATTTGTTATGCCCTTAGAATTAGCTATACAGAGGGCATATATTCTGTGGAAAGACTTGCATCTTTATCCTCAAAAGCTTGTTCGTTCATTTTCGGTTTCCTATACTTTATCTTCTTTGCTGAGATTGTGGATGTGTGACATTTTTTCTTTCTCGTGTAAATGACCTGCTGATATAGTAATAAACTTTTTTTTAAGTTGATATGAATCGAACCCAAGACCTTGGAAGCTCTATTGGAACCTCCCAATCATCCGGGCACCCCCGGTTCCCGATATAGTAACAAACTTTGGATCATTGACAATGCTTTAGTTCAGCTAGCAGAAGTTTTAGGTTTTGTGCTCATTAATTGAAGTATATTCTCATCTTGTGTCTGCTCAAGGTAATTTATCTTATTAGTAGTTCTGCATCATCTACTGGTTTTTGTCATCTTTAGATTGAATTATTCTAGCTGCGTATTGATTTCAACTCCTCTTTGCATCCAAGACAAGTAGTTGACATCACAAATGGGCATCATTTTGTGTTCCAAGGCTTCTTGTAGATTTAGATTATGGGCCTCATGAAAAAGGATGAACATAAAGCCATCAGTGTTCATGCTTCTGATTAAATTGCTAATATGATATTAAATATGACCAATTAAAAAATAAATCAAATATTGTAGTCAAATTCACGGGACATGGTTTTGTTCCCTACTCTAGATATCTAGATATAGGTTCCATCTCAGTGTCCTATTACTATGCCCAGTTGCTAATAATGGAATAGTAGCAATGTTGGCAATAGAGGAGATCTCAGCATCATGCTATGTTTGCACCAAAGTTAACAAGCAACTGGTGCACATGACAAAGGGACCCTCTTATAGTTACAAAAATACCATATATGGAATATATATAAAAGTTTGTAGAAAATATCAAATTCAATAAAATAATATCTGAAAACAGACTGAAGGGCTGTCAAAATTCAGCACATTGCATGTGAAACTTCACATATCCTTTTCTAGTTCTATCCTAAATGCTCTTAATAGTTCTCACTTGTATGTATTTCTAAATTATGCACATGGAAAACAAGCTACTGTATTTTAAGACAGCAAAGCCCCCACAAGTGTTGCATTCTGAATTTTTTTTTTAATAGTTCTCTCGGTCATAGCAGCGTAAACTTCATCAAAATCTTAATGGCATTTTATTAAAAATTTGCATTTATGCTTATGTATCGGCATCATGATAAGCCACACATTGTATGAAAGTGATATCAAGTATTTTTAAAGAGGTTTCATGTCATCACTGGTTGCATTTGGCATTTACCCACATCATACCGTAAGACCTAGTCCAAAGTAAATTCTAAATGACATAAGAGTGCTGTTAGTGTTGGGGAATTTCACTTTCCCCGCCTACTACAATATGCGCAACTCCAAAGCCAACCCACAATCAACAAGATATAAAACGATCACAATCAAGAAAAAAAGAACACCGGGATTTACGTGGTTCGGTTGACCAACTTCGACCTACGTCCACGGGGCAACAATATGAGAAATTCACTATGTATCAGGGAGAACTACAAGCAACTTCGACCTACGTCCACGGGGCAACAATATGAGAAATTCACTATGTATCAGGGAGAACTACAAGAGGAACCACTCAACTCTCGTCTCTCAATCTCTCAACCTCACATACATAATCAACTCTCATACTCTCTCCAAAGCCCACTCCTTGTAATCTTTTGCACGGATAAATATCACGAAACCCTCGCCTCTCGCACAATATTCTTGAATCAGGCTACGCCCTCTGCTAACCCTAGATTACAAGAATATTGGCTCTCTCTCTCTACTACATCTTCTCTCTACTCTCTTCTTCTTAGTTTTTCCTCCAACAATAGAAGAATACCTCTTCTTCTTAGTTTTTCCTCCAACAATAGAAGAATATATATAGGAAAACCAAAACCATATCTCTAGCCTAACTTCCTAATTATAATAGGATTCAAACTCCTAATCATGATGAAACCCAATCTCCTAATCACGATAGATCTCTAACCCTATCTAATTCTCATGAAGTTATACAAAGAATCAAAGACACAATCCCAACAGTTAGCTTATGTGTCACTATGTTTACGATGATTGTTTATGTATACATGCCAGATGCCTTATATCGGTGCCTCTTCATTGTTGGCACATTTCATTATAGGTAAAATTTCAACAAAACCATCATAAAAATTTGGCATGTAATTTAAACAAGTACCATGCTCACGTAATTATCACAAGCTTAGTGTAGCTTTAAAGGAAACTTCCATAAAGTTTCTAACTTATGCTAGCAACAATTAAGCAAGTTAATTATGGGGTTTATTCATCTTATTGGGTCTATTGTGGGCGTGGTGGGCCCATTCACCATCTGAGGGTGGCCCAAGCCATGTGAGCATTTTAGAGGCTCACATGATGTAGGAGTGGATAGAGCACTGACAATTCCTTATTGAGTTTTCCAGCGTAATTTCGTTTTTAAATTGAAGCATCCATTTGAGATATTTTTCACCAATATCTCAAATCTTATCAGAAATTTCTTTTACCAATATGAAGAGATAAAAAAGATGCTGTTCTATTTTTTTGGTAGTCTAAAGGGAAACTCTACGAAACATCAAATTGTGCTACCACTTTATTCTGAAATTAACGGGAAGAAAGTCTAAAAGAGAGGAAATTAAAAGACTTTCTCTTCTGAGAATATTTGCGCTGCAAATTTTGAAGCTCCCTCTGTGCTTTTGCTTAAAGCTTATTGCGCTATGAACATCTTTCGGTTCGATATAATATTGCTTAATTTACCCGGAAATCCTTTCGGTTTTAGGTAAAGGTTCTACCAGAACGGCCCCATGAAATAGGGTGAATCGCTACATGTCTATAGGGATGGTTCTGATAGAATTCCTACTGTTTTAGATGTGAAGATTTCCGTCTGGTACGTTCACATTGTTGTTTCCAAACTTGAACGAGTGAACTTCTGGCCCAAAGAAGTAATGTTGATGATTTAACTCGTTGAAGTGCAAATAACCAAGAATTGTCATGATATTATCCACCAAAAAAAAAATTATGCGCTGTTGGAATGTGTAGCTATCTATTTGACAGTTAATAAACCAAACAATTTCGGTGCGATGCCAGAGTCATGGCGTCTCCCTGTCACAAAATAATGCTGATTAGGCCCGGCCGGCCCTGGGCCCGGAACCCGGGTCAAGTCCGGGCTCCGGGCCGGGCCCGGGCCGGCTCTTTTGTGCCCGGCCCGGCCCGGCCCGGATTATTTTTTTTTATTTTTTATTTTTATGTATTATATTATATATGTATATATAAATATATATTATATGTATATATAATATATTTTTATATATGTATAATATATGTATATATATAATATATGTATATATATAATATATGTATATATAACATATTTCTATATATGTATAATATGTCATATGTGTGTATATATATACTTAGTATATAAGTATATATAAGTATACTCTCTCTTATATATGTATACTCTCTTATATAAGTATATATAAGTATATACTCTCTTATATATGTATAATATATGTGTATATATATATATACTAATATACTCTCTCTCTTAGTATATATGTATATATAAGTATACTCTCTCTTATATATGTATACTCCCTATTATATAAGTATACTCTTTTATATATGTGTGTATACTCTCTCTCTTGGTATATAAGTATATATAAGTATAGTATATTACAACGGTTACTTCTTTCCCATTACCCCAACGAGCAACGGCTGCAAGGTTACTTATGCGATTCTCTCTCTCTTAAATTATAACTTATAAATATATACAATATATTTACATATAATATATGTATATATAATATATAGTTACATAATAATTTAGAAGTATATATACTAATACATAATTATATAAAATATAATAATATTAAACTAATTTTTAGCATTTTTTATCAAAAAAAAAGAAAAGAAATTTAAAAAAAAACTTGTTGGGATGTACTTATCTATTGTGATGCGATGAATTCCAAAATAAATTTATACTTGTAATTTGTAAATGATTTATTAATTATTAATAAAGAATTTATTTTTATAATTTTTTATTTGTAATTTATGTCATTTTAAGTGATTAATAAAATTATTTTTTTTATTATTTTTTTGTCTTTTTTTATAATTTAAAACTTAAATAAAATTTGAAAATTTGAAAAAAGAAAAAAACCCGGGCCGGCCCGGAACACGGCCTGGTCGGGCCCGGGCCCGGACCCAGCCCGGGGTACCCGGGTTCGGGTCCGAGCTCCGATTTTGCCCGGCCCGGGCCCGGATTTCTGGCCAGGCCGGGCCGGCCCGGCCCGGATGGACAGGGCTCCACATGAGCCTCGCCATGTCACGTAACAACTTCTTTGGGTTTGATATGCTTCACATTTTTTGGGAAAGAAATTCTTAAATAACCATTTTGAATTATTTCTGTTAGAAGTTTAGGCATGTTGAAATCCAAAATGCTGAGGTGGGGGCCTTTATCGATCACAAGTTTTCATTTTCTCAGGCGAGACTAGCAGTCCCACCATGCCTTTCAAAACTATCCGCTAAGTGCAGTTCGAAAAGAAAACGAAATGCACGGGACTAGCAGTCCCGTGCAGTTCGAAAAACACTTCCTCAGCAAAACCGACCATTTTCATCTGAAAAGGATCGGTTTTGCTGATTTTTTTCAGAAATGATCGATTTTGCTATATAAATTTGAAAATTGGGTGTTTTCAAAAAATTGTCCTAAAAAACAATGATGGATGTAAAAGAGAGAGGAAAAAAGTTTTACTTTCTCAACTAATAAGACAACAACAAAGATCAGGTACTACAGAGAAAGAAGTGGGTCAAATGTGTGAAGTGAATATAACCGCCATCTGATCTTCACTCTATTTTAACATTTAGTGATAATAATTTTTATATTTTAATAAAGTTTTTTATTTGATGGAATGTATTTTAATAAGTTATATAAAGGGGTCGATGTCTGGGAGGAATTTCGGTGGTCGGTGTGAGTTGGCCTCTCAACCGCGACGTGCTCTTCCTTCGCCCCCCTCTTCATCTCTCTCTCTCTCTCTCTCTCTCTCTCTCTCTAGTTTCTCTCTCTAGAACCCATTCGTATTTTCTCTCTCTAGAACCCATTCGTATTTTCTCTCTCTACTTCTTCAAGTCCAGTCCTTCGCCTGAGCGCCGAAGTAGCCAGGGTTAAAGTGAGTATTTTGGTGCTTGTGTTTTCCCTCTTGAATTCTTTGTTTTCTTGATTTTGCTGCGCATGTAATTATCCTTGAACCTTGATTTTTTTGTAAAATTGCGCAAAGAATATGTGAATTGGTGATAAGAATTCCTGATTTGGCATTGAAAGGTTTAATCTTTGGATCGAAGTCGAGACTTTTGATTCTTCTGAAAATTTATGGTGATCGTTAAAGCGTACCAGGCAATTTTTTTTTCATTTTTAAGAGAAACCTCTTTGCTTGTTCTTTTGGATGTTATAACATCCAACTGCAAAGCTATTACATGATGGTTGTTTCCTTCTCTTATTAAATAAGGGATTTTTTTTTTTTTTGCCTTACTATGAAGAAATGCTATAAATGTATGGAAAATTCTGTAATTTTATCTCCCCAAAACTAGCATAAATTGTATTCATAACCCAATTTAACTCAGTACTGCAGGTGACCCGGATGGTTGGGAGGTTCCAATATGTCTCCCACAATTTTGAGTTCGATTCTGGTCTGGGTTATTACAAAATTTAAAAAAAAAACACAAAAAACTCACTCCTCAACTCTACCTTTCTGAAAAGAACCAAGGCAACATTAGAAAAGACAACCTTTTGGTGATAGTGTTCTTTTTTTTTCTCTCTCTCTCCTTTTCTTGAACAAAGGCCACAGCGTGCACTGAAGCTAGGACTTTTCACAACTTTCTAGTCAGTGGCGGATCCAGAAAAACTTTATCGGGGGCGGGATGACAAGTACTTATTTACCAAACATGAAAATGTAATAGTATAAAACAATATTATTTACAAACAGGCTAAAATTTTCAACTTAAATAGGCTAAAACTCAAGTTGGGTGCAAATATTTTTCGGTTGTAGGGGGGGAAATTGCAGGTTCACAATGCTATAGAATGTAGTTTTGCATAATCTTAGGGCTGCAATTGCCTCCCTAGGATTATATATGAATCTCACACTGCTCCTAGTGTGGAGTTTGTCAGAATCCTGTTAATTTTGATGTTAACAAAGTTATGAAACATGACCTGTCAGGGAATATTATCAGCCAACTAATTTCATGGATAAAGTTTGAAGCGCCGAAAGTATGCATATCAAATTCAATACCCGAATAATATCCATGATGTGCGTCCACATCCACCAGAGGTAGACAACAATTACTTATCCATACAGATTTGGAGCTCGATCCCTTTCTGTTCAAATTCAATAACAGCCATTAAATTGAAAGATCCAATCTGCCAATGTTGATTACATTGCGTGGAATGCAAAATAAGTGAAAGTCAACTGTGTTGTAGTTTTTATAAATGAGTCAAATAGGGGAAAAGGGCCTTCAAATGTAAATGTTGCATATATACATGGTTTTAAGCATATAAGTTGTCGATCCAACTGTTTGTAGACAACTTGATATCCTTAAAGAGTAGTTCTTGTTAAACTTCAATTGTTGTAGACCTTTAACTAAGCAACTTGCTATTTGAATTGTTCCTTCTTGGTGCATAGAAGGGAAAAAAAACTTAAGCATGTTTGACTTTTGTTTTTTAGGAACTTTAAAGAATGTAAATAAACTTGAATGGAGTGGATATTTAACCTGGTATTTATCTCATTGAATTTGAATGGGAAGGAATTGGTTTCTAATGCTTCCCATCCTTCCCAGACGAGCCAAATTTCCTCAAAAAAACATGGATACAGGGACGATGATACTCATCCGTTCTGTTACTACTTTATCTACTGCCTCATTCCAAGATTGTTGGATACATAAATAAGCCAACTCTTACTAGCAAAATGAAAAAAAGAGAAGATACTGACACACTTGTGTAGTCTATAAGTTTGTACAACATACATAAACAATTGTTTTACCAAAATCATACATGTTCATCCTTATTGCTTTTTATTTCTGTCACGATTATCCATGCAGGATCACCTTTTACTCTGATTGAAAATGTTTATAGATCCTAAGATTGTCTCCTCCTTGGCTTTGTAAGTTTTTTCTTCTCATTTCAATGCAAAAATAACTCCCACTCCTGCTGCTTGATGATTCCTTCTATGCCCATGTTACATTTAGGCGGTGGAGAGCGAGAACTGATTTTTCCCTTATGTCTATTTATGAACAGATGTGTCAGTTCTAGGCAAAGCAAGTACAAAGATGAGCTGTGAGTTGAATGAAAGGTAAATACCATATGATTTCTTTTATATATCATTTTCCACGCATAATTATTTATCAACATAATTTGGTATCAAATTGTAAACTTACATAGAAAAGAAGGAAAGATGAAGCAGGAGGGCTGCTGATATGTTTCGTACTGAGCTATATGTTTTTTTATATATGAGTTGGTTATACTGTACTAAATATGATATCTTTTCCTTTATTAGGATTTGCAACAAGGTCCTTTCAAATGGGGATACTTACAGTGGAAACATTGATGGACTACTTCCTCATGGTATGGGAAAGTATACTTGGATAGATGGAACAGCGTATGAGGGTGAATGGGAGGAAGGCATAATATCCGGAAGAGGACGAATTTGTTGGTCATCAGGATCCATATATGTGGGTGACTTTCGTGGAGGTTTCCTTCATGGTTCCGGCACTCTTTTTGCAGTTGATGGATCAATTTATAAAGGTTCTTGGAGAATGAATATAAAACATGGCCTTGGAACAAAAACATATTCTAATTCCGATGTTTATGAGGGTTCTTGGAAAGAAGGAATGCGGAAGGGTAATGCAAGTAATACTGGCGCAATGGAAATACATATATTGGGAAGTGGAAAGCTGGAAAAATGAATGGTAGAGGAGTTATGAAATGGGTTAATGGTGATGTCTTTGATGGCATTTGGTTAGAAGGATTGGAACATAGTTCTGGTTATTACAAGTTTGCAGACGGTGCATGTTATTTTGGAACATGGAGTAGAGGTCTAAAGGATGGAAGGGGGACTTTTTATCCGGCTGGAAGCAGGCTTCCTTATCATCGTAAGTACTGTGAACCTGAGAGTCTTTCTCCTGCATTGTTGAGTTGTGAAGGACCGGATAATAGCAGAGCAAGTTCAAAAAGGAATTGTTTTAATAGGTGGAATATAAATAACTGTTTTAGACATTCAGGACGAATATCACATGGAGCTACTTCATTAGACGAGGTTTTGGATGGTGGTGATTCAGCTGGAAACATTCCATCACAGAGGAATGCACTCATGTTGCCCTCTTCATCAGTCGATGCTCAAAATAGTAGGGGTGTTGTCTATGATAGGGAATATATGCAAGGGGTTTTGGTCAAAGAGCAAGTAAGAGATCATGACTCCAGGATGCAACATAAAAGTAAACGGAAGCATAAAGTTGACGCAAAACAAGTAAAGGGGCCAGGTCAAACTATTTATAGAGGTCACAAGAGCTATTTCTTGATGCTGAATTTGCAGCTTGGGATTAGGTACTTCTTGAGTTCTTTATATAGTGCAGTTCACATTTTCTGTACTCGTCATTGATGTTGAGACACATTTCATTTATTTGCTTGTCGATAGTGTCCAGAATTTTTTATCATGTAGAAAAGGTTGCTTTATTTATTGCCACCAAAGCGAACTTGCCTTAGATTTATTATCGGTCGAATCGAATAATGGCCAGCATCTACGAAGCAAAATATTTCATGGAAAGACGAGTCTCCTCATTTAAATAAGCTAACGGTAGTTTTCTCTTTCAACTTCACTGACTCTGGTAACCATGAAAACATTGCTCTTCCTCTTATGAAATTTCAGAACAAATAAAGGGTGCCACTTGCCTGCAATTTCTGAAGAGTTACGTGAGAATTATCAGTAATTCTTCAGTGAACTTTGTTGATGATTTCAATACCTGCCAATTTTCTCTTCCCAATTTTGAGCAAAAGCTCCGATTATTGAATGTGGTCGTAAGGATCATAAAGCAGTGAACTCCTGAAGTTCCAACCTTTGATGTAGTATTAGTCATTTCTTTGAAATGCAAGCCTTGATGTGGCATTAGCCAATTTCAAACATATTTCCTTGTGGATATACTAGAAGCCGCATTGATTTCATCCAGTTATTTATAAGGACCATGATATTCTTGATCTAACAATGTTTGATATTTCTTTCTGAAATTTAGTAGAAAACCGAGGCCCTGTTATTAGTTTTTTTTAAGGACGTGCAAACAAAATAAACATGTGAACTCATGAGTCACAAAATTCCTTTGTTTATATTCCTGGCAAGGGATCTATCGCAAATGAATGTCTAGGGATAAAGTCTCTCTTCTCACTAGATTATATTATTAAACCAAAACCCAAAGCTATTTTTTCCACTTTATTTTTTTATCTTGTGAAAATTTCAGAATAATGTATTAAAGTTTTGACTTAAAGTTGACAGATACTCTGTGGGAAAAATCACACCTGTGCCTATGCGTGAAGTTCTTTCCTCAGATTTTGGTCCCCGAGCTAGGATAAAGATGTATTTTCCTGGCAAGGGATCCCAATTCACACCTCCTCATTACTCAGTTGATTTCTTCTGGAAGGATTATTGTCCAATTGTTTTCAGGTATTTTCACTTCGTATATCATAAATTGTTTAATAGTGTTGATATGTCATCTTTCTAAACTTTGGATTACACTAATACAGTACGATGCACCTTCATATATTATTTGGAAACAACTCTTATTGTTATTGTGATTATTTATTGTATATTTTAAGGATATTTAATTACAAGATATATTTTCAGGAATCTGCGTGAAATGTTTAAGATAGATGCTGCGGATTATATGATGTCCATTTGTGGGGTTGATGGTCTAAAGGAGCTTTCTTCTCCCGGAAAAAGTGGCAGCATATTTTATCTTTCACAAGATGAAAGATTTGTTATCAAAACTCTTAGAAAACGCGAACTCAAGGTACTCCAGTTAAAATTTCATGCAACTGCTTTGCACAAACTGATGTATGATGGCACAATTATCTTCAAATTATTAATTTCATAATCATTTATTTCCTCCAAATAATAATTACTGAAAGAAAACTATGGAATAAAAACATCTAATGATTCACAGCATATATCTTTATTTGACTGACGATGCTGCATAATATATTTTGGTTTGAAATTTTCAGTACTTATTCTCAAAAGAAAAATGTTAATGTTTTTGATAGATAGGAACAATAATGCTAGTATTCTACGCATTTTAGCATCCTGTCTCCATGGTCTAGCTCAAAATAGATGCATGTCATACTAAGTACAACACCATTAATTGTAAATACACTAATTGTCCATCTTTAATATTCATGGAAAATAAATTACTCTACTGTCAAAGGAACGAGTAATTTCCTGGAATGACTGTTTTAATACTCTTTGATAAAATGCTCCTTTTTTTGGCAGAACCTATTGAAGATGCTTCCCAAGTATTATGAGCATGTTGGAGCCCATGAAAATACCCTCATAACAAAGTTTTTCGGTCTCCATCGCATTACAATAAGAGGCAGAAGGAAGGTATAAATTAATTTCAACTCAAAGTAATTAGGCCATTGTATGTCATTATGCTTGGTTAACTGTTTATTTTGCAGGTCAGGTTTGTAGTAATGGGGAATATGTTCTGCACTGATTTGCACATCCATCGCAGATATGACTTGAAAGGTTCTACTCAGGGAAGATCAACAAGCAAGAGTAACATTAATGAGAACACCACCATGAAAGATCTTGATCTTTCATATGTCTTCCATTTGGAAAAATCATGGCGAGAGTCACTTTTCAGGTCAGCTGCTTGCATCTCATCTAGCTTAAGATAAAGTATCAGGATTAATTCTGTCAATTTCATGGAAGGTGACTGTGTTAGTTACTGTTTGCTGAATTACATTCTTAATCAACTGCAAGAATAATATAAACTGTCTATTTTCCAGGTTTAAATTTCTTGAGGTATAGCCCAAGTAAAACCTCTAGGTATATCTTGTTTCCAAATAAAAATAGCATTGTCAATTGGAATGTGTCGTTAATACAATTTTCTAGAGAACCAGAATACTAGGCGCTTTTATTGACGTTAAGCTTTTGTGGCCCATTTGCACATTAGGAGCTTTTCTCTTCTTCTTCATGGGAGCACTTCTCTACAACCTTGGAGAGTCTTTCTCCTTCATGGGAACTTTTGTGGTGCAAGATTATTGACCTTCCCCAAAAGAAAAAAAAAAGGAAAAAAAAAAGAAATAGTATATTGGTTATGGAAACACAACCAATATAGAAAGTGAACAAGTAGCACATGCGCACTATGCAATTCTATTTTCAATTTATATCTCTTGTTTACATTGAACTGTTTTCCCTCCCTCTTTTCCTGGCCCGAGGAAGTTTACACCGTATTTTAACTTGAAATCAAACGTCAGGATTCTATAGAAATCTTGTTGCTTATATTTTTTTTCTTGAGTGAATTAATTGAATTATACATAAGATGGCTTACAGCGTTGATCTAGTGGCAATGGCATCAATATGTCAGCAATCAACATGTTCAAGCCTTCATCACTAAGATTGAATTACTTATCGTTGAAGTCCATCTTGTTTATCCTTTTATGTGTGAAGATAAAAAAAAATGTCTTCTAAAGTCTAAACTAGAGTCTATTTACTTTGTGCAGACAAATCTCTCTCGACTGCATGTTTCTGGAATCACAATGTATAATTGATTACAGCATGCTGATGGGGTTGCATTTTAGAGCTCCAGAACATTTGAAGGCCCTCGTAGGACCTCGAGATACGCTTGAAAGTAGACCAAGCCCATCAGCAGATGATTGTATGTATCTCATTTCAGTTATTGTATTTGTTCAGGTTCAATACATTTTCTTTCATTAGTTGTTTGTACATACAGTCTTCTGCTTAGACAAAGAACTTACCATGATTGATAAGATTTTCTCTTAAATATTGTGTCTACTTATTTTCTGTAAAATTTATAGCCACTAGATTACAGTCATTCTGTGAGATAAACTGTAGACGAGAATATGCCTTCATAGCCAGCGGAACTTTATTTATAAGTCTTGTTGCTCTCCTTGATACTTATTAGACATCATGGAAAACTTCAGTAAGTACTAAGTTTACTGAATTATTCAAAGGAAATATTGCTTTCAGCATTTTAGATAACTATATACAAATAATTTGATCAAAATAGGTCCATGCATGATTTTTCATCGTTCTATTCCCTCTTTTTGACACATCTATTTGGTGCCACAAATTTGTGCAATTTATATTTTGGTAAAGCCTGCATTTTCTAGATGTTTTCTCCCTTCGTATCTCTTCAAGAACACAACGCCATGATTTCAAAATCATATATTCTTGACCCTATTTTTTGGGATCTCTTTAAATCATTCGATTTAAATCACCTTAGTAGATTGTCAGGTAATTGGTTATGTTGCTTTATTTCTTTTATGCTACTGCATTTTTTATTACAAATGACTAACTAATAGGATCAGGGTCTATTACGTTCTACTGTAGAAATGGATGCACCCTGACATATCAGATAACCGATAGTCTACAATATATGCTAGAATCAGCACAATAACTGGACAATAGCCACTCGGTACGGGTAAAGACAGTTACACTGTAACAATTTGAATATAATTAAAATACATTACATGATCGTCAGGGTATTATCTGTCATCCCAAGAAGCACTTTTTTTATTTATTAATGAGATATTGATATGGCTCTTAGTGTGTTCTCCTGTGATAGATGATATTGAAAAATTGCTTCTTCATTAAAATAATATTCAGAGAAATCTTTACTTTGACGCTCGTTTAATCATGCTTTTGTTTTGGAGATGGCTAAGTTGATTTTGGTGATCAAATATTCGCCAAAGCTTTAAATTCAACTATGATATGCTTTCCTGTTGAAGCTGAGCCGTAACAATCTTGTTGGCCTGAGATTAATCAGCTTTTGTTAATTAGTAACGACTGTACATAATGATTTATATTTTTGTTTGCTCCATAACTCCTATCAAAAATTAACTAATTGATGTACATTCTCTGTAGTTGGTGTCCAATTGGAAGATGAGATCACAATTCCGCCAACAGGCCTGCTATTAGTAAGGCATGAACCAGGTTCGGCGAGTACAGTTCCGGGTTCACATATTAGAGGAAGCATGTTAAGAGCATCAGCGGCTGGCGATGAAGAAGTCGACCTTCTTTTGCCTGGTACAGGAAGGTATTCATTAGTATTCCACTGTTGGATGTTCATAGAGAAAGAGGAATAACAAAGATATTTTTTGTGATTCTGCTCTATCATGACATCTCAGAAAAACACACCAACAAAATTTTAGACGATTCTATATTCGATTTTTTGTTGTTCAAACCAATTTGTTTAATCTCAATTTTTCCTCACTTGTGAACAGCAGTTGAAGTATCACAATTTTTCGTAAGAAAAATAAAACTTTACAGAGGGCCCTCTATAGAAAATCATATAGGAAGATAGGGGATGAGGACGCATGACCTAGCATGAATCTTGATGCACACATCACATTTATTATTGGTGCAGTTGCTATTCCTCCTGTACACAGTCTGACCGCACTGATAGCTAATAGTGATGTGTGCATTAAGACCAGTTGTCGTCATCCCATATCTTCCTATTATGATATTTCCCGTTTATCGACTCACCGTGTTTACATATCTTTCTTAGCAGGCTGCCAGTGCAGCTAGGAGTGAACATGCCAGCCCAAGCAAACCGGAAGCTCCTCCATGATGGAGGAGGCAGCCCAAATGCAGCTGAAGTTGATCTTTTCGAGGTCTACGATGTTGTCCTCTACCTAGGGATCATAGATATACTGCAGGAGTACAACATGACCAAGAAAATCGAGCACTCTTGCAAATCCCTCAAGTTTGACCCCATGTCCATTTCTGCTGTGGAACCCGCGCTGTATTCTAAGCGCTTTATTGGGTTTCTGGAGAAAGTTTTCCCGGAACAGATTTGAAGTCCGTTGTGGGTCGTAGATTTGTGTAAATTAGATTATTTTTTTTATTCTTTTACCTTGTTACCGTTGTATTCTCGAGTACGAGTTGATACTACATTCTGCCTGAAAATGGCTGTAAATAGTTATCGCTTGCTGTGTTTGTGGGTAAATCATGTGTAGAACTACAGATAGAAGGTTGCACGAAATGGATATGATTTGGCTTCGTCCACCGTTTTTCACGACGATTTTGAATCAGTTGTATTTCTTATCTCTCGGTGCACATATTCTTCGTTGCGTTCCTATCGCTTAGTATATCCATATATTTTTCATGGCGTTCTGGCATCTAACACATGAAAACATTTTAGCATATGCAGATTAGCTTCTTACATAAAATACATACGTCATTATATAGAGTCAAACGCACCCGGAGCATAAAGTAACATGATTCTCATTTCAGGTAATTAAAATCTTAGTCAAAACTTTCAACATGCACGACTAAGATGTAACCAGAGACCAACTATTGCTGTGGCCAAAACAACTTACAGACTCGGATTCGATGGATCCACAACGAATGGCACACTTCAGCTACAGAGAACCCACAATTTTTTTGAACAGGAATTCAGATAGTCAAAATAGAAGATAACAAATGTAGCAAAAAAAAAAAACATCAGAATTACAGATCCAAGGGTCCTTAATCAATTAACTTAAAATACTCTGTAATAATTTGCTCTCTACTGCACCTCTACAGGGTTTGGGCTGGCATTACCCCCTTCAGCCAATTTCGAAACATTACCACCATCAACCCTCTCAGCGACAACTCCAAGGACCTCGTCCATGAGTTCGTCCTCAGCAACAATATCCTCAACGTCCTCCTCTTCATCGTTGCTTCCTGGGATTCTGCGAGGCTTGGGACCGTGCTCAAGCCTGTGAGTCTCCAGCTCCTTGTCCATCGTCTCTTGCAGATTAACATTGTTGTTGTTGTTTGATCTTTGTCTGTTCCTCAAGCTCTGCCACTTCTCGAGCTCTTCGTCAACGTTTGATATGTAATTCTCTTCGATTTGTTTTTGGTATTCGGAAAGCTCTGCTCTTCTTGTGGTCTTCCATTCATGGAATACCTGAAGAGCATATGTCAAAAAAATATTTAACCGATCAGCACAAGAAGGATTTTGGCATGTGTAGGGTTTGGCAGAATAAATTGGGGTTTCTTGAGGACAGACCCGCCTCTATTATTGTTGTTCTGGGCTTCCCGTTCTAGTTTCGTTTTTTACAGATACTCTTTTACCTCAGGGGGTCTATTTGTCAAAAAATAATTTTCATGTTCTCTTGGGGTAAGAATGGCAAATTTTCACAGGGAGTCTATCTGCGAAAATAAACTGAAGGGTAGTAAGTTCAATACAGGAATACTACAGGGGTCTATCAGCAATTAACCCAGAAAATTAAGCAGAGGAGTTCAGGATATGGATATCTACGATTAGATGACACTGTTGTCAACTGAATTACGCTGCTATAAGCTGACTACATTTCATCTTCATCTAGAAGGATCCTTGGTGAATAAGCTTAACCGTACAATCCATTGATTACTAGGTCCCGTATCTCATGCATATTCCCTCTGCCGAAAATTTCGCAAACCATGAGGGCGATCACGTCTTTTCTGGAGCTTTCAAGACACAGATTAGGTTCAGATATGATCAAATTTCCATGTGGGCGACCAGAAACTTCATGGTTTTGTTGGCAACAATCTAGCCCAGCAAATAAGGGATGAGACAGGCTTACTGTAGGTAACTAAACCAATTGGGTGAGTACCGGAAGATTGCTTAGGGAAAAGTTACTCCTTAGATAAACTAAATTTTAATACTTACAAACAATGGAAAACCTTTAATGAGCCCAGTTAGTTTTATTGTTTATTTTCTTCCAATAGTGAGGAAAAAGCATGCAAGAGTAAATCTGTGTTTCTGTACAGGATTTGACGGAATGTACTTATGATCGCCTCGACAATCTACCATATGGATTGTCGCAGAGACAGCAATTGTAACTCTTTACCTGTTCTTTCTTCCGTTCAACAGTAGCTGCATCCTCAATTAATGGCTTGACCGGCATGTAGTATATTGGAGGTTCTGTTTTAGTCCTAAAATAGACAGAACAAAAGAAATCAAAATTGAGTCAATGTACAAAAGCTAATTTGAAAAGAAGTGCCAAACCATGCATTAGGGAAGCTCGGTTGGTTCGGACGTCAACACTATGCAAACAAACAGAAACTTATCTGTCTCAACTAAATTTGTCTATATGGACACTTTGGGCCAAAAATAAAAATAACCTGCAGCAGCATGAATCAATTAATGAATTAATATAAATTATGGGAAAATAGGTGTAAAAATACTAGCTGCAGCCTTAAGAATGTTTAATTTTCAAATAAAAAAATTTAAAATTTTGGATATCAAGCAATTAAACGAAAATAAATTTTTGGTAAAAGTTTCAGCATTAGAAACTAATAAAATCTAAAATTGAATTACAACAGAAGTTTGATATATGAAATTACAAGATTGAAATAATCCATAACCTTCCCCATGTTCTTTTGTACCTTAAGAAATTGCTCAGCTTTTTATGATGCTCAGACCAAAGAATAAACAGCAGCTCCATCTTCTTTTGCTCTGCCTTAGCAGCAACACGAGCTCGTAAAGTCTATTAAACAAAACTTTCAAAATAAATGAAAGCATGAAATAAGTTTATAACAAAGTGAATAGGGGAAGGGGAAATCACCAAATCACGCCTACGTTTCTCAGCAATTTGTTCCCTCTCTTGTTGCCGCAGCCTTTCACTTTCCTCTCGGGCCTTTTCTTCAGCCTACAGTGGGGACTCATTCAGTAACAAAGTGTTTGTAAAACAAACTTGGATTAATATAATATGTTAACGAACTGAAAGTGTGCAGAATAATAATAATAATGAAAGTGAAATTAAGGAAAATGAGCACTCCTAAGTATTTCACATAGAGAACCATGGAGTACAACTAGAGTTACCACTCAAAACTATGCTTCACACACATACAATTACCTGTTGCTGCAATTTCCAGCTTATGCAGCAAAAAAGAAAAAAAAAATGTTTAGTTTAAAACACTTTAATTTACTCAGGATGGTAAGATGCAACACCCTGTCTGCCTGTTTTGATTTTAGATCTTGTCCACTCACGTTATCTGATACCTAACTCACATCTTAAGGGATTAGGTATTCCAACAGTGTAAGAACAAAAAGCTACTCACCCGCCGTAATGAGTCTGACCTGCGCATGTACGCTTCAGTGGATGACAGATGTTTGTCTTCTTCTCGGAATTTCTGGAAAAAAAATCAGATACAAAGTTTCAGTAGCAGAATTCAGGAAAGTACCGAGTCTAGGAAAGTGCTCTCAGGGACCTTTTACATTTTGAAAAAATATTTAGTACAACCTAAAGGAGTTAGATAAAACAGTGTCGCTCTTGTTATCGTTGGCTGTTTGTCTTGTTGTATATACTATATACAGACTCAATCACACACAAGTTACTTAAAACCCCTCCAATCATTTCTATTGACATTGACATTGACCTCCTATTAACCACATCAAGAATTAGCATGGACGAAAAGTACCCACAAAATGAAATGCAGTGTTACCTCTAGTGTCCCTAGGAGCTGTCCTAGCATTCTTCTGTTACGCTTAACCAATCTTGGGTCCTCATCCTTTGGCAAAACCCTCGGTACAGGCTCTGTCGGCAAAGCATCATAGTCCTGAAAGCATCACAACAATTATGTATTTCTAAGAACAACTGTAAATTGAACAAGAAGAAGATGAGTTCTTGATCTTACCATCTTTCTCATCCGTGGATTTCCATCCTTTCTGAACCCACTATTGACCTGTTTGTTTGGCATTGGCTTGCCGTTCTCCCCAGCTGGAGCAGCCCCCGACTCTGGTGCCAAATCCTCTCTGGTATCTTTTGGTTCACCAGCACCTTCTTTGATTTCTCCATCTTCCAACTTCAGAAAGGTTTCATCAAACAACCAAGTCATCATTTTTGGAAAACTAGCTTGCCGCCAATAGAGTAACATGCATATAAAATGATGGGAAGGCAAACAGCCGGATCAAGTGTGTGAAATGAAAGACAAACTCCTTAATATCCTATAGCTTGTTGTACAGAGAATATAATTGGAATATTTTTATTTTACCGTGTTTTCTGGATGTTTTTAGTATCAAAGTTACATAACAATTCATTTAACAATAAATCGCATGATTAACTTCCAAATGCTAACCAAATTAAAACCAAACAATTGGAAATAACTGATCCTGACATATTAATAGTCCAGACGTATATATTTTGAAGATAACAAGAACTAAAATTATCAAGGAATAAAAACCAGAACAAAGTTCTCTTGCAGGTTTTGAGACATGTAGGTGAGACATGTAGGACATTATAACCAAGTAATTAAACCAATTCATCATCACAGCACAATCCCGTGGAATCAATACTCCTTCCAAATCTAATTCACATCAATATGTAAGGAAGCTTATGCCTCTTATCATATTCCTTTCGATAACATGGTATACAACTCTCCTCCTCTACTTGTTGCAATTTCAATCTACAAAATTAGCACGTTCAATAACCCTATCTATAAAAAGTATAAATTTTAGTTATACAGCGTGATACTAGATTAAGATATTTTTCTATCATCTCATTCTATCGATAAAACTACGGAAAATACATCCTGCAATGTTATAAAACATGGAGAGAAAAAAAGGTCACAACTTTGAGAATTACCTTAACAACAGCCGCATGAACAACGCCGTTCGCGCCGGCTGATCCTCCAACTCAGACCACCTGAAAAATTCCCATCTGTGATACACACCCAAAAAAATCACCAAAAAAAACTCAAAATCGGATATCTGAACACCGGCCTAGCCATAACGCCGCGCTTCCGAGGGCCGGTGGGGCCCGCGGGCGTTACGGAGGCGCCGGAGCGTCGGATTCCGCGGGGATCTCGAAGCCTCTCGGTGATCTGAGCAAGAGGAGAGAGAATTAGGGTTTTGGAGTGAGATTTGTAGTAGAAATCGAGACACACAGAGAGAGAGAGAGAGATGACCTCCCTTTGCTGGCGTTGGAGCTCGGCGATCTCTCTGCGGAGCTCCTCCGCCGTCTTCTCCGCCGTCGCGCTCGCCATTTCGCGGGGAAATTTGGGGCTCGGCGATCCTCGTTGAGTTTTAAGACCTACTTCCATTAAGATTTTATAGATACGGATGCGGGTAGCCTTCATAGCTCCGTGGCACTAGAACCCGACCCGATAAGTACGGCTTTTTGGGCCGACACCGAATGTGCAGAAATTTAATTTACGCCCCAGTTGAAACTTGAAACCAAATCTGTTGGGTCTGCCGGATTATAATTTAGACAACTAACGCCCAATTAACTTATTAATTTATTAATTTATTTATTTATTTATTTATTTATTTTCCTTATAGACTTCTAATTTAATGGCTATGAAAGGACATGCGGAGGTGTTTGGTGGCAATACATATGGAAAATGCTAGAGGCACACCTTCCAACCACACTCCTCTCTCGCTACACTACATTTAGGGCTCACACGAGAATTTTAAAAAAATTCTCATGTGGGCCCTAGTGCACTGTAGCGAGAGAGGAGTGTGGTTGAGGGTGTGATTTAGGGTGTGGTTGTAGCGCCTCTCAATACATATCCTATCGGAACAGCTCGTATGCTAGCGAATACTAGCGAATTTTTATGATACCTTAGAGTAGACATTTTATGGAATATGATTACGAGCAATTCATTCCTTAGAATATGATTACGAGCAATTCATTCCTTAGAATATGATTACGAGCAATTCATTCCTCTCAATTCATATATGTCTCTACTATGTATGTCTTCGTTGTGTAGAATATGATTACGAGCAATTCATTCCATAGAGATCTCTCTACTATGTATGTCTTCGTTGTCATAAATGTAGTTTACTCTACCAGAAGCAATGTAGACAGTAAAGAGTAGACATTTTAATAACAATTTGAGGAATAAACCAGAATAGTAGTCATAAATGAAAAGGGAATCACCAAGTACTCCCATATATAGCTTTCTTTTGCGTGCTCCCCCTAAAGAAGAAGGGAGAAAAAGGCTTGTTCTCACACCAAAATGGGAGTAAAGGATCACACCCCCACCAAGAGGCGGCTATTTGGAAAGTAGTCCCTCAAATCATTGAAATTGCTCATACAACAACAAAAACGAAGTTTTTATCCCAAATGTTGGGAATCGGCTACATGAATCTTATTCTCATTCTGTCTTATTCTGAATCATTCCCTTAGTTAAGTTAACAATTATTGCACCGTTCTTAACTGCTTCCAATCAAGTCCTTTTACATCAAACTCTAGATCTATCTGCCCTTAAACAGCGATGTTATTATTTTTCTAACCGGTGCATTAATCGTTCTCCATTGTACATGACCAAACAACCTTATTCGATTCTCTCATTTTATCTTTAATGGGAGCAACACCTAATTTACTACGAATATATTTATTTCTTATCTTATCTTTTAGTGTATATCCACAAGACCCTTAGAAGACCCTCGTTTCCAATGCACTCGTTTTTTGCACTTGTTGTTTTGTCCAATATTCTAATTCATAAATTAATGTTGGTCATATAGTCATTCTGTAGAACTTTCTGTTGGCCTTCTTGTTTTGATGATGTTTAACAAACAATTTACGACTAATATTGTTTGTCTAGTGTTTGTGTTTATCTATTTATTGCAGACAAATAATATGTTGGAGGATGAATGGAATTGCGCTTCAACGGTCATATACAATGGAGGTTGGCAGAATTATGAAGTGAAGCCTATGCAATTCAAATTGAAGATCCTAGTTCTAGCTTCATCCGTAAGTGTACCAAGTTGAGCTACATCGAAGATCAATCAAGCATGGGTAACATTTAGTTTAGGTGTTATGTTATGTGTGTTGATACTTTAAGCTCAATCATATATACACACACATTTTTATTGATTTCTATGTATATATATAGTTATATATATACATACATGTTTTTTGGGTTTTTATGTTTATAAATATGAAATTACATATTTCATATTTACTATTGTGTTTTGGTTTAACTACATAGATATGAAACAACAAACAAAACTATTCACTTTTTTTTTTGTTTCATATTCTATTGCGTTTTAGAATTTATTGCATAGAATATGCAATTTTGAGAAAATATTGTTTTCTTGGTTTATGGACTTAACAATAATCATATACATCTTTTATTAAATCTATAAAATTATTTTGTAATGTTTCAAAAGATGGTTTAGCTAAAATATCAAAATTCATATGTTTGCATTTTCATGTTTTGGACTGTTTTACAAAATAATGATATTTCTCATTTGGGAGGTTCTTTTTAAAAACCAGTTTTTGTAGCATGTGTATTATCATGTCTACAATCATTTTCCTAAGTTTTATATTTTTCTGAATTTGTTTGATATTTTTAAATAGGGTTTTAAAATCAGAAAACTATTTTCAAAGCTGGAATATCTGAAATATCAGTTCGCGGTCGACCGACCTTGGCGCTGCAGTCGACTGCCGATAGTCCAGAGACTGTGCTCTGTTTTTCAACAGCTCGCGGTCGACCGCCCTTGGTGCTGCGGTCGACCGCCCTTGGCGCTGCGGTCGACCGCTAATTTTTTCAGAGACTATTTTTATTTTTTATCAGATCGCGGTCGACCGCCCTTGGCGTTGCGGTCGACCGTAGAAAATCCAGAGAGTCAGCTTTGTTTTTTAGCTGTTCGCGGTCGACCGGACTTGCCTTTGCGGTCGACCGTGACTTTTCCAGTTTGCCATCCCAACGGCTAGTTTTTCCCACGGTCGACCGTGGTTCTACGGTCAACCGTCGATCAATAACGGCTATATTTCTGCACTTTCTAGATTTTGTGGGATTTGGTTTTTTGGTCATTTTGCTTGGGTTTCTACTGATGTTTTGGGTTTCTATACTGATGTTTTGGGTTTCTATAAATACCCCATTGCTCTCATCTTTTAGATCAACTAATGAAATATTTTAAACAAGTTTAAAATAGTTTTAAATAAGGGTTTAAATTTGTTTAATGTTTGTTTAGAAGCTTTTAAGCAATTGAGGGTTTGAGTTTGTGAAATCAATTCTACAAGAGCTTAAGGAGATCATCTATTGAAGTTTGAGCATCCAACTATTCTCTCTCTATCTCTTGATCCATTGAGAAGTTTTCTAAACTCTATTTCTAGCTCTTTTATATATTTGATTATCATTGTTATTAAGCTAGAGTTATATTGAGTTTAGTTTTGATTTATTTTATCTCTTTGTACACACATAACCATTGAGCTTATTGTATTTGCATACATAGTGTAATTGGGTTGTGGGTTTGTGTGACTTGGAGAGTGACCTTACAATTCGTTCTCATCCATTGTAGAGAACAAACACTTTGTATTTTTGCTTAAATTGCGAGGTTCACCTTGTAATACACTAGTACACCAATAGGAGTGTGTGGTGAGAGACGGGGTCATCCCAAGAGGAGTGGGGTAGGTGGTAATGCTTAGAGAGAGGTTATAATTCCTAACACTTGAGGGAGACACTGGGGTAGGTGGTAATGCTTAGAGAGAGGTTATAATTCCTAACACTTGAGGGAGACACGGGCTAGAGACCAACACTTGAGGTGGTAGTTAGTGTAGTTACATTGTGAGTGTGGATTGTAAAGTTTTCGGTTAGCTAGAAAATCGTATTTTGAGGTGTAAACGTTTTTCGGGTAAGCGTAGAAAACCCGATGTGATAGTGGAGATCTCCTCGAGGTGAGGAGCGGAGACGTAGATCGTGGGGATCGAACTCCGTGATCATATCGTTTGTTTGAGTTTGCATTGACGCACTTATTTTTGTGTTTATCATTATATCGTCTTTGTCAATTGCTCATTGTTTATATTGCCCACTATCTTATTTATCTTGTTTATAGATAGTTTACGCTTATGTTATTTATATATCCTTGCATATATTTCACCATATATCTCATTGCTAGGATATCTCCCTTTGCTCATATTGTATATTCTTGCTCATATCATATTGTATATCTATCTTACAAAAATAATTCTTGAATAAGTTTCAATTGACATTTAAATCGGATTAGATTAGCATAAACACTATCCCCCCTCCCCCCCCTCTCGGGTTCTTTTCTAGTGGCATTAGGGTCTAACACTTTCCACTTAGTCTCACAAGCATTCTAAAGTCACATAAGACTTGAGACTACTCATGAGTCCTTTGGATCCTAAGGGGCATTGCAATTTGATCCCTCGATGACCAAAATAACCTCGATTTATATTTCCCTTGAAAACCCTCTTTGACCACAAAAAATAATAGCCGAGGCCCTGAGGGATATCTTTGGTCATTGAGTGACCAAATTGCTAGAACCACTAGGAATTGAGGGACATGATATTAACTTCAAAGGTTTGAGAGACTATTATCCAATAACCCATAAAGCAAAACAAACAACCAACCAGGACACTCAAGTTTTTACAGTGGTATAGATAACAATCTTACATACACTCTTCCTTCTCACGAAGGGACTTTCTCATATGCTAAGAGTTCTCGTAAAACACAATTCGATTCAATGGACTTACAAACACCTCGTCCTAGAATCTACCCAAAGTCAGTCATCTAACCTAACACTCCATAATGAGTAATACCTGGTCCTACCTAGGCACAACCCTCAATTAACACCGACTTGAGTACATCGTAAAAACAAGTATGAAAAAACCAACAAACATAATTCAAGCACATAAAATAAGAAAGATCTTACAGCCATTTTAGATTAACGAGCCGTCTTTCGATAGATCAATGTGAATCTTGATGAAGAATGGTGTAGATGATGAAATCAAGGTAATTCTCCACGCTAAGATGATCCAAAGATGTTAAGCGCGATGAGAAATAGTTTATTGAGGCTTCAGAGATCAAAAACTTCAATCCAGTATCTTCTCTTTTCAAAAAACTAAAGCTCTAATCAAAACCCTAGAACTCTCTCCTCTACTTATCTCTTTCAACCATATATAGCATTTAATCAATTAGGAAAGATATATTCAAAATGTGGTAGAAATTGGATATCAAAAGGAACAACAAATGACTGTGATTAAGTCATCAAATCTATAGTCAGTCGACTTAACCATCAATGGTTGCACACGACCATCGATTGGCCCTTGAGCACCATCGA